CAGTCATTCTTAAACCAGTCATTCTTAAACCAGTCATTCTTAAACCAGTCATTCTTAAACCAGTCATTCTTAAACCAGTCATTCTTAAACCAGTCATTCTTAAACTAGTAGTCATTCTTAAACCAGTCATTCTTAAACCAGTAGTCATTCTTAAACCAGTCATTCTTAAACTAGTAGTCATTCTTAAACCAGTAGTCATTCTAAATCAGTAGTCATTCTAAATCAGTAGTCATTCTTAAACCAGTCATTCTTAAACCCAGCCAACATGCCAATACTTCAGCTTGTATCTACTTAAACTTGAAAATAAAAACTTAAAAATGAGAATAATTTCGAGTACAAATCACGCACTAAATATATAGATTGAATGGGATGGATGAGTGACTTTCAAATACACAACAATACCCCCATTCCCCCATTTTCCCCCCATTTTCCTCTTTTTCCATTCAAAGACTCGTTCACTTATCCTCCCTTTTCCAACAAAAACTATTTTGACAAAAGAAAAGATTCTAAGACAAATATTCTAAGAGAAGAAAAGAGATACTCGACAAATAGAATGGGCGTCATTTTCCCTCTCGACATTCCCGCAGTCTCTCGATGATTCATCAATCTTGGTACAAAATAAGTAACCGATTGTTAAACTAAAAGATCAGGGAAAGATTGAGTTTGGAAAACTCTCCATTGAATTAGTCAGCTTTCTGTCAAATTGTGCAACAATGTTCCACATATCGAAAAGCGAAATGTAAACGGTTTGTGGTCTGGTTAATGTTATTACATTAATGTTATTACATTACATATTATTAGGTTGTCCGAAAATAAATGAACGTTTTCAACTCGAATATTTAAAATCTCATAATTGATCGAAAAAAAAACTTTATTAATAAGAACCATTACAATTAACACATAAGTAACCGATTGTTAAACTTGCCAACGAGAAACAAGTTTATTTATGCCTGTAGCATAGAAGTCCGGGCCTCTGGAGGCGATAAAGTCGACGAAGGCGTTTTTTTTGGCATTGTCTTGAGTTTTGAAGACAAGTTATAGATACTTTACGCGAAAACGAGGTTCAGACCAACCATCAATTGAATGAGCCACATGCGGAGGATGATTCGTTCACCGCTTCTTCTCCAGCCGTTCACCGCTTCTTCTCCAGCCGTTCACCGCTTCTTCTCCAGCCGTTCACCGCTTCTTCTCCAGCCGTTCACCGCTTCTTCCCCAGCCGTTCACCGCTTCTTCCGTTCACGACAACTTTCTCCCGGAGAAAGTTGTCGAGGCGCTTGAAAAAGTGGTAGTCGGTAGGCGAAAGGTCCGGTGAATCTGGCGGGTAGTTCAGTTCGTTCAGCTTTTGCAGGGTCGGTTGTGCGACGTTCGGATTAGCGTTGTCGTGGAGAAGAATTGGACCTTTTCTGTTGACCAATGCCGGGCACATTCCACATTAGCATCAGTTGATTTTGATTTTTCGCTGTCTAATTGTAGACTTTTATTGAATCAATGCCTTATAATTTCAAATGTTTACAGTTTTTTTCAGTCATTTTCTTGAGCGTAGAGCTTCAACGAAAAGAAGGGAGTTTCAAAGATGCTTGAGTCAGCAATATGCCAGCTTTTTGAGACAAATTGATTAAAGATTTGGTTTGGATTGTCTGAAATAATGTTCATATTAACTAAATGATAACTAAATGATAGCTAAATGTCTAAATGATTACTAAATGACTAAATGAATGTTATTATTGACTAAATAATATCAAGTAAGTGTAGCTTTCTTCTTTTTTTCTAAGTTCTTTAAATCAAAAGATAAGAGTTTCAAAATAGACGCGGTGTTTGCGGTAATCGCGTCATTACCGCCCGATAAAAAGCTCGATAAAAATATTATTGAATATCATTGAATAGTATCTCTTCTCTGAGTTTCAGTTTCAATGGACATTTTATAAAATTCAGTGTTCGGGTTCGGGTTCAGCGTTTGACCAATGCCGGGCACATTCGCCGCAATTTCTGGTGCATTTCGTCGATTTGTTGGCAGTACTTCTTCGCTGTAGTACTTCTTCGCGTCGATTTGTTGGCAGTACGCTTCTTCGTTTCGCCCGGATTCAGAAAGCTGTGATGGATGAGATGGATAATATATTACCAATTAAAGATTGACTTTTTGATTTTAAAATCTTTATTGTGCGACTTTTTTCTTACTTTTATTAAAAAAATCATGTTCAAAAAGTGATTAAATTTGAAACAAATTGATTAAACATTGGGTTTTTAAGCTTTTTCAGTTTCTCTGTTTGAAAGAACTGCTCGCCTTTCCAAGATAGGCTAATAAGTTCCCGAGTTTCTCGAAAAGTTTAAACCAATTAAACCCGAGTTCAATAAAATTCAATAAAATGAATATCTCCAATCGATTCACCGACCCCGAAAACCCCCGGATACAAAGTTACAGCTGAATATCTTTTTGTATCATCTACAAAGCAAAAGAGAAATCCATAAACGACTGGCGAAGTGTTCTTTGTGCGGCCGCGTAATCGCTCTCCATCTGGCAAAAGGCCCCGGATAGGGTGCTGCGCTTTTGGGAGAAGGAGAAGACGGAGAAGAAGCGGTGAACGGCTGGAGAAGAAGCGGTGAACGGCTGGAGAAGAAGCGGTGAACGAATCATCCTCCGCATGTCGCTCATTCAATTGATGGTTGGTTTGGACCTCGTTTTCTCGTAAAGTATCTATAACTTTTGCTGCATTATCTCCATCCAAAAGAACTGAAACTCGTAACAAAAGTGCTTGCAGGGGGAATGAGTGGTGAGCGACTGTGCCTACTTTGCGCGTCACTATGCCCAAATTTTAGGAAAGCTCTTTTTGCCTTAATTTTAGCTGTACTTATCTATAAATTTTAGATTCTGTTAAACCATTGTTTTACTTAAAAAGCAGCTTAGCTGGAAGCCGACTCGAGCGCTTTGTCTTTTGCTTTTCTCAGGATTCAAACAAGATTTAAAATAATCGTAATCAGTGTAATGATGAAATTTCTACAAAAAGTGTATTAATTGTTTTGAATCAGGCTTTATTTTTAAAAATATTTGATTGATTTGATTGATTTGATTTGATTAATTTGATTGGTTTGATTGATTGATTGATTGATTTGATTGATTTGATTTGTTTGATTTGATTGATTGATTGACTTGATTGGTTTGATTGATTTGATTGATTGATTTGATTGATTTGATTGATTGATTTAATTGATTGATTGATTGATTTGATTGATTTGATTGATTGATTTGATTGATTGATTTGGTTGATTTAATTGATTTGATTGATTTGATTGATTGACTTGATTGATTTGATTGATTTGATTGATTGATGTGATTGAGATGGTTTCTCTAGATGAATGTTGCAATTTTAGTGAGATAAAGTGTCGTCTGTGTCATCACTAATAAACATCACAAACATTTGCACAATTTTCTCAAATCTGATCAAATTTCGTCTTTCACCACTTCCGCGTCATTGAAAATTGCTTAAAATTGTGAAAAGCCCGCGATCAGAAAACGCTTTGTTTCAAAGTTTTGCTTAAAAATTGAAAAAAAGGCATTTTAAAGCAAGTCATCGGTGCTTTCGAATCAAAAATTCACGAAAAGCTCGGTCAAAAATTCGTCGAACACCATGGAGATTTGGACAAAAAGAAAAGAGAATTCTTTCACAAACATCTACATTAGTTTTCTTCACCAAGAGAACTATTTTTTTAGCTGTTATTTGACAATTATCTATTCTCATTGTTTCTTAAAACTTTTCACGGCGATCATTGGATCTAATTGTTAAGAATTTTTGATTGAAAAAAAAATATTTTTAAATTGAAGCAGCTTGCAGTAAAAAAAGTTTTATATTGAAATCTTGAAAAAATATTCGAAATTTCTACGCATTTCATTGTTAGTTTTATTGCAAAAATAATGTTTTAAAGTATTGAAATTGAAATTTCGATTAGAATTTCCAGAAAAGCTTTGGTTTCTTTTTCCTAAAAGCTTACTATTGGGTTGGTGAATTGAAAACTGCCGGCTATTGTCATATGTGACAGTTTGAGCACTTTCTTCAAAAGAAACCCATTTTGGTGTCAATGGAAAAGTTGTAGAGAATCAAAAATCAAGCTTATACCCAAATTTCCAAAAAGATACACTTAGTAGTTCCGCTTAAAATGCAAGTTTTAATGCAAGTTCCGCTTAAAATTTGTGTTCTGTGTGTTCTTTGTGCGGCCGCGTAATCGCTCGTCGTCTGGCGCAGGGTTTTAACATAACCCCCTGCCCTCTCTGCTGTCCAATCTCTTCCGGCCGTTTCCGAATCTTCAAATTCGACATTGACTTCTCCGCAAATCAAGGCTAATCTCAATCTATCGGGTTGATGAATTGAAAACTGCCGGCTATTCTCATATGTGACAGTTTGAGCACTTTCTTCAAAAGAAACCCATTTTGGTGTCAATGGAAAAGTTGTAGAGAATCAAAAATCAAGCTTATACCCAAATTTCCAAAAAGATACACTTAGTAGTTCCGCTTAAAATGCAAGTTTTAATGCAAGTTCCGCTTAAAATTTGTATGTTCCGTGTGTTCCTTGTGCGGCCGCGTAATCGCTCGTCGTCTGGCGTAGAGCTTTAACATAACGTCCTTCCCCTCTGCCTTTGCTAAACGAACCTGGCCGGCTCCGAATCCTCAAATTGGACATTGACTTCTCCGCAAATCAAGGCTGATCTCGATCTGTTGGGTTGGTGAATTAAAAACTGCGGACTATTGTCAGTTTGAGCACTTTCTTCAAAAGAAACCCATTTTTGGTCTCAATGGAAAATTATTGCAAAAATAATGTTTTAAAGTATTGAAATTGATTTTTAAATTTCGATTAGGATTTTCAGAAAAGCTTTGTTTTCTTTTTCCTAAAGCTTACTCTCTTTTACTTTTCTCTTTTCTTTACTTTTCTCCTATCAATCTCTTTTCTTTCTTTTTTCTCTAATTTCTTTTTAAAAACCAATTTTCTCTACAGTAACCCTATTTTGTTCAGATGGGTTTCCTTTTTTCGACAGCCGCCATTGTTTTGCTGATGTTCGCGCGTCGAACCCGGGCGGATACGTGTCCCGATACGAGTCCACGTAAGTGAGAAATACCCTGGAGAAAGCCAAAGAATCTACGTAGATTTTCATATGTTACCTCCGATTCAATCGATCTCTGATTGAAACCCTTTATCTTTATCGAAACCACTTTTCTAGAAAAGACATTTTAAGAAGAATTTTAATAAATTTTTCAATCAAATCTAAAATCAAACAAAGTTTTAGCTTTGTTCAGCACTTTAGTACCTTAAAACCATCGAAATTTCGCTCTTTTTATTTATTAATCAAATTTCAAACAATAGTTTATCAAAAATATTTCAAAAGAAATGCATCTTTCTTCTCATTTTTAAAGAAATTTATGCAAAAACTAGAATTTATTTAGGAATTTAGTGATTTTAATGTAAAAAACATTATTCTGTTAGAAAGGTTTCCAAATCGGAGGTAAGATATACATTTTAACACGCGATAATGTTTATCTATATGTCGCAGCCGCTCGTGATTTTCAGCAGCTAGTGATTGAATGACCTAGCTAACCACTAGTGATTCAATCACCATCGGATAGCCACTAGTGATTGAATCACCTAGCTAGCCACTAGTGATTGAATGACCTAGCTAACCACTAGTGATTCAATCACCATCGGATAGCCACTAGTTATTGAACCGCCTAGCTAGCCACTAGTGATTGAATGACCTAGCTAACCACTAGTGATTCAATCACCATCGGATAGCCACTAGTGATTGAATCACCTAGCTAGCCACTAGTGATTGAATGACCTAGCTAACCACTAGTGATTGAATCACCTAGCTAACCACTAGTGTTCAATCACCATCGGTAGCCACTAGTGATTGAATGACCTAGCTACCACTAGTGTTCAATCACCATCGGATAGCCACTAGTTATTGAACCGCCTAGCTAGCCACTAGTGATTGAATCACCTAGCTAACCACTAGTGATTCAATCACCATCGGATAGCCACTAGTGATTGAATCACCTAGCTAACCACTAGTGATTCAATCACCCAGCTAGCCACTAGTGACTAAATCACCTAGCTAGCCACTAGTGATTGAGTTTTTTTAACGAAACATTTGGAATACAATGCAGATTTATCTCACATGCAAATAAAAAAGTTAGGCTAATAGGACCAAATATTTTAACACCTCGGGAGATAACTTCAGTAGCCAACCTCGAAAAGTTATGTCATCTAAATGAAAATAAATTTTCCTTAATATTTTTGGCTTTATGAATTGCAAGTTTTATTCACTTTTCAACAATTTATTGCAAACATATAATAAGTAAACAAGCTTAACAACAAAAGAATCACTAGCGGCTAGCCGGCAATCACTAGCGGCTAGCCGGCAATCACTAGCGGCTAGCCGGCAATCACTAGCGGCTAGCCGGCAATCACTAGCGGCTAGCCGGCAATCACTAGCGGCTAGCCGGCAATCACTAGCGGCTAACCAGCAATTTGGCTACTGAAGTTAAGATGTTAAAATATATGTCCTATTAGCTCCTATTAGCTTAACTTCTTTATTTGCATGTAAGATAAATCTGGATTGAATTCCGAATGTTTCGTTTCAAAAACTTTCAATCATCCTCGGCTAGCCGTTGATGATTCAATCAATGGCGATTGAAAATCACGAGCGATTGCGACCAATTTATCCCTATATTCCTAATTGTGGTGACTTTATTTTAGCAAAATTGAAACATGACTTTTTTTACTCTTTCGATTACCTTTCAAATCAGCATCAATTGGCAAAGCACATCATAATTTACTTATAATTAACAATTATTCACATCTAGTCAAGAAGATTCCATTGGATTAACGCATTATTCACTAAACTTATCTCATTTGAAATTCATTTCAGCGACTCTCCAAGTGCCGATCTATCAAGTGGCGATGAACTCGCCGCTAACAAGTGAGTCTAAAAACAGTTTTTTGTAAAATTTTAAGCTTTAAGCAACTCAATCCCCTTTTCAAATCATATTTCAAATCATAATCAGATTATTGCTCCATTTTTATAGCTGTAGCTGCAATTTAAGTCGTTTAGTTACGGTTACAAAATTGTATGTTTCAAGTTAAAGGGCATTAAATGGAGATGGCAATTTTCAATGGATACGATCTATTTTCTTTTAAAATTCGCCTATTCTAAAATTTCAAGTGAAACCCTCTAAAGCTGTGGTTAAGAAAAGTTGCCATACTTCTTTTCTTTCAACTTGAAACATCTAATCTATAAGTAGACATGAGTTTTGGTTTGATTCCGCTTCGAATTAAGCTGAACCGAATTTTGAATAGCTTTGATCTGAAGCTCTTGACGAAAGCTGGCTGACTAAAGCTGGCTGACTAAAGCTGGCTAAGCTAAAGATAGCTAAAGCAAAAGCAAAAGCGTTGTTAGTCTTAAGTCTTAAATTTTAGCCCAATACATTCACTTCCCGTCAACCACTTCGTTCGACAATGGCACAGCAAAAACGATTTATCAAATCGACGGAATGTTCGCGTCAACGGGGAGAATTTTACCTTTTTTTTGCGTTTTTGCGACAAATTTGATCCCAAAACTACTTGATTTGGTCACACGGTAAACACACCCTTTCTGGTGCACTCAATTCTTCATTTTTCTTACAATAGCAACGAGAAAACTGGGAATTTAGTGCACTAGAAAGGATGCGTTTACATTTTAGAATGTTGGCAATGAGCATTTTTCTATCTGAAATGAATGCATTCTAGTTCAATTATCGAGATTAACGCTGTTAATTTGAAACAAGCTTTTTGAACATAAGAACTTGTTTTGATTAAAGATGATTAAAGATGATTGAAGATCAAGAAAAATGCTTGACAACTACTTGATAAGTATTGACAACTACTTGACAACTATTTGGTAACTTCCTAATCAAGCTTGACATCTTTTAAGTTCAAATTGTTTCCTTCAATTCTTCAAGTTTCAACAACAAATTGAATGGCTTTTACGAAAACGTCGTATGTTATTTAATGTCTCGAATTTTAGAGTGCATCAACTTGCATCGCTGCCGGCTGTTTGATCACATTGCAAGTGATGGGCAATCAAAATGGAAATAACAGTAAGTTTGGTGATGGAAAGGAAAAGGATCGGATTTGATTGCTGAAATATTAGGCTCTCCAGAAAGTCTTTTCGTTCCTCAACCAGTCCGGATTTTTTTTTAGTTTCGATCTACACAATCCCTTCATCGTGGGCCTCAAGCATGAACTATCAGGCAAGACAAATTTAGTTAAATAGACTTTAGTCCGGTCTACGAAACCGCCAAACAAACAAAGAAACAAACAAAGAAACAAAGAAACAAACAACAAACAACCAAAAAAACCAACAAAGAAACAAAGAAACAAACAACAAACAACAAACAACAAACAACAAACAACAAACAAACAAACAAACAAACAAAAAAACAAACAAGAAGGATACTGTAACTTTGGTGCATTACAGTGCAATTGTGAGGCACTAGAATAAGCTAAAACATTACAGTAAGCATTAAAATAAACTCAAAAACATTCAGACATTCAAAACTTCAACAAAGTATCTTCCAATTCAATAACGAAACAAAAGATATCAATTTAATCTAAATCCCAAACTTGTTCACTTGCTGCAATAGTCAATGTTTCAATTTAAGCAGCTTGCTCAATTAAATAAAGCTTTAATCCTTTTAATCCTTTTAAGCCCAAAAACAAACTTCTAACAGCTATTTCTTTCTCTTTAAGTGACAAAAAGTAACCATTTCAAGAGATTTTCCGCTTTTTTTCTAGGGTTTCGTCAATTTGGCTACACTGAATTGTGTACAAACGTATGGCGCGTGTGGAGCGACGATTCCCCTCTACGCCTATGAGAATACGAAATACGCTGGTGGGGCAATGAAAAGCTTTAGAATTTGTCCGGAAAATTGAAATCAAATGTACAAATTACAAGCAATCAAATAAAATCAAATAAAAATCAAATAAAAACCATAAAATCTCTAGACGAGTACGTGAATGTTGGCTATGGAATGGATGCGCCGGCGGCCGATGGGTACAATCCGATGATAGGTGGCACTCCGCTTTGTTTCCTTTGGCCTGTTCCGTATGTTTTTTTTAAAATATCTAATTCTTATTCTACAAATTCTTGATTGCTTTCTTGATTCTTGATTTCAGAACCACAACAAGTACGACGACAACGACGACAACGTGAGTTCCGAGTTACAGCGTCGATGAGCCGTTGACCTAGCGTCATTAAACTGACTTTGAAACCCATTCTTTTGAAACTAGGACTTCCAAATGACAATTTTTGATTAAACTTTGATTAGACACATTCACGACAAAGCAATTTTTGTCTTTTTTTGGCTTAGCTGCTGTTTCGGATGACAGCTACCGTAAATACTCTAATAGAAAATCAGCTTTTTTTTTTCCACTTTTCAATCATTCTTTTCTAAGCGCTGGTTAACGCTAAAAATATGTGTTATATCTCAAAAAATCATCCATTCTCTCTACTTTAATTTGATACCTAAGCGTGTAGAAACAAACGTACTGGTGCCGAGATATGAGCGGCTTTTTGAGTGTCAACTTAGACGCGACGCTTCTATTCTATTAGAATCTTTACGGTACTTCTGTAACTTATAAATCCTTATATCTTTTCTAGAAATATTGTGATCCTTTCTGTGCATCTTCATCTCTTTTAGACTTACCCACTCGCTCACCCTCAATTTGATACTTAAGCGCCCAGAAAAAAACGTACTGGTGTCGAGATCTGAGCGTTTGTTTAAGAGTAAACTTTGACTACGCGACGCTCCTAGAGAGGACCGTTCTATTTCTTTTTTTACGGTATTTATGCTAGCTGTAGACCTAAAAAGTTGTAACTGGTGGCATTCTGGGATGGAGAATCTGAATCCGTTTTTAGTTTTTGTGAAACTTTAATTTCCGAATCAATACGGTCATCACAAAACTTTCTAAAACTTGGGTAATTAAACCGAATGAAATATCCAAAAATAGAGGAATTTTCTTTTAAAACTAATAACGTATTCGAAATCCTTGATCCCGAAAACCTACTGGTGCAAATTTTCAGCCTAATCTGCTTCAAAAAAAGTTTTAAATCCACGTACGGCCGTATTAACACGAATTTGTTCAAAAACTACTTTTAATATATAAATTTAACCAATATTGAACTAAATTTGTAGTTAATTCTTTTAAAAAAAGACTTTTTGAGAGCTTCTCAAATTGCTAAAAACAATATTTTTAATCAAATCTGACTGAGAACTTATAATCAGCGTAATTTTGATGTTTTACTGAACTGCTAATGCTTTAGAACCCCGTTCACTGGCTCAACCACCACTGGACCAACTACAAGTGGGCTTTTTTTGTTGTGCATGTCAAAGAAAAACCTTTTTACGGCTTTATATTGATAGGCTTTATAGCTAAGCTTGTTTAAAGTTTCAAAAAGCTTGCAAAAAAGCTCTTTTCAGCGACGGCAAGCACCACAACGTTCACCACTGTTTCGACGACAACTGGATGTAAGAGCAATAAGCTTTTGAATGTTTTTTAAATTTTGTATCAGCTCAAATGATCGCATACTGTGGTTTTACTTATCTTGTGGCTTTACTTTACTTATCTTTACTGATCTTTACTTATCTTTACTCATCTTTACTCATCTTTACTTATCTTTACTCATCTTTACTTATCTTTACTTATCTTTACTTATCTTTACTGATCTTTACTTATCTTTACTTATCGCACGTAAAACTAAGATAAGTAAAAAGAAAATTATGCAAATTGCTATAAAATTAGCAAAAGAACTTAAGCATTAACCGGAAACTTATGCGTTATCTCCCAGACTTAAAAATTCGCATTTATCAATTTGCAGATAGCATCTGTTTTTTGGAATGAGACTCCCATCACTCCATACCGTAAATACTGTAATAGTACCCCACCCCCCTCGTACAGTCGCGTAGTCGCAAAAGTTTTTTAGTATTTCATCTTTTTCAAGGCGCCCGTACTTTCAAAAAATGCGTTTTTGGTATCAAAAAATAGCTGAATTTCAGGGCTATTTTTTGATACCTAAGCGCGCATTGTAGCATAAACCAGTGTCGAGAAAAACTCGTTCAAAGCTAGACTACACAACACTCCGCACCGTCATTATGGGCTTGGGGTACTATTACAGTATTTACGGAAGGTAGTATTAAGCAATAAAATTAGCAAAGCGATTTAAATTACCCCTAAGCATTAGCCAATACTTATGCGTTATCTCCCAGACTTAAAAATTCGCATTTATCAATTTGCAGATAGCATCTGTTTTTCGGAATGAGACTCCCATAACTTCATAGATAGTATTAAGCAATAAAATTTGCAAAGCAACTCAAGTAACTCAATTAAAACGATAGCAATTGTTTATAGAAGAAAGACTTTTCTTTCTTTCAAAGAAAAACTTTCTAGATTTTCTGAAACAATCTAAACAAGCAAACCAGAAATCAAATTAGCATATGGGCGAAATTAGCATTTAAATGCACCAGCGAAGCGCAGCCGAGCATGAGTGGAAAGGTGGGTGAGGAAAATTTCAGTCCGTTGAATCGTTGATTTATTTCTTTTCTTGTGGCAAGGAGATAACCAATAAGTACCCATTAGCCCCAATCTTTTCATATTAAACCTTATTCACTTTGAAACATCAATAATTTAAGCCACCGTCAGCACTACGAGTTACACGGGCTCGTCGACAACTGCTTGTGAGTGCTTGATTTTGATGATTGGTTTCATTTTAAATGATTAATTTAGTGTTTTACAAAGAGATAAGGCTTTATTAAGGCCAATATATATATACACTTTATCCGACAAGGAAAAGTGACAATGCAAACAGATTGAACAGCGTAGACGAAGAAAGATAATTGATATACAAACACAACTACCAATTGACAATATGGGCCAATATATAGGCCAATTTCTAGGCCGATAATAAGATATATTAACGATCGGAAGAGCGGAAAGTTGAAATAAAAATTTTTTTTAAATAGAAATCGATGCTCGCTTTAATTTAAAGCATTTTTTGAAACGCGAAAATTTAGCCACCGTTTTCAACAACTTGATTTAAAATTGAAAGTGATTCATCAATTAATCAAAAGCCTTCTTATTTAAGTTACTTCACTTTGAAACACACAAAATTTCAGCCACTGTCTCCACGACTTCTTTCACTGGATCGACGACAACGGGAAGTGAGTGAAATTTGAGAAGAAACAAAAAACATTAGATTTTTCATGAAAGAAAATCATATTTTATGATACCTTTGACTATTTTGCACGCCACAAACCGTATTTTTTATTCGCTTTTCATTTACCGTATTTGCTCGGACCGCTGGCAGTTGAAGCAAATCACCAAGAAGCACAACATTGAAATCCCCGAACATTTTGTTCTCACTTCCACTGATTTCTTGAAAAGAAATTAAGTGTTAAGCTCTTCACTTTTCTTTCTTACTCCAAGTCGCTTGTGAATCTCTAATAGTAGCGCTCTCTAATAGTAGTGCACCGGGCCGAGCCGAGTTGATGACTATTTTACTGCTTTCAGAGTTTTCACAGAAGCTCAACACTCTACTCCCCCACAAGATCTCATCGTCAGCTACATTTTCCGACCCCATATCGATAGGTTCTGATAAGCGCTTTTCGAGATTTCGAGTAATTTAGGCAACGCTCAAGGTGCACTAATATTAGAGAGAATACGGTAAATGTGGTTGTTTGACTCAGTCCATTGATTCTTCACCTTTTGTAATCATATTCCATTTCACCATCGATTCACTATTGCTCTGTCCATCTAATCTTTAGCTTCCTCAATGTAAATTTCGCATGTCGTGCAAAATAGTTAAAAGTACCTATGTTACTATTTTTTTTTAATTACGAGTTCCAGCTTTGTTCGTTCCGCTCTTTTTTGAAACAAAGCATTTTTCAGCGACGGTCACCACCACTTCGTACACTGGCCCATCAACGAGCACAGGTTTCAAAAGTTCATAATTCAATTGAGAAATTCCCCTTTAGATTCCACGACAACTGGATGTGAGTTTTGAGAAATCAGCAACATAATACTCGAAAAGAGTTCGAATATCGAAAACTTTGAAACATAAAGTTTACAAAAGCTTTAGATTAAAGGGTTTTCAATTTTTTTTCTTGTTTATAGCGTTTAAATCATTCGATAATTTGATTAGATTGAAGTTTTCTGGTAAAATCCTTTCTGTTTTCTTGTAATTTAAAAAAAAAGAAGAAAAAAACGCGGATTAAAGCCTCAAATCCATGTTTAATGTCGATTATTTTGAAAAATTGATTTTATTCAGGTTGAAAAGTTGCTCATCTGTCTAAATACTACAAAAACTAGAGTGTTTTCCTCATGAGTAATGCGCTTTTTAAAACGCACACTTAGGAAAAATTACCGTACGGTTTTAGAGAAAATTATTGCAAAAAAATTGACGCAAAAAAATGACGAGCGACTCTGTTAAAGATATTCAGCCGTTTAAATGATTTGGTGGCAAATTCCCTTCAAAAGTAAAGATATTCAATTTACCCGAGATGTAAAGAGGATTACTCGTAGTTAGTCGACGAAAAAACGTCGATTAATCGAGTAAAAATTACTCATGCAAATTTTACTCGAGTAATTACTTACAAAAACCTTTTTTTAAAAGCTCGATACTCGAATAAATCTATATCCATTTCCAAAATCCATTTCTATATCTGAAAATATGTATTTAGCCTCTACAACGCCCTACACTGGCTCGAGCACTACTGCATGTGAGTTTGGAAAGTTTTTCAGTAATTTAATGGCGTTTTTGCGCTTTAAACGAACAAATGGCTTTGCTTTGCTTTGCTTTGCTTTGCTTTGCTTTGCTTTGCCTTGCTTTGCTTTGCTTTGCTTTTAAGGTACTTCATGAGTTACTTTTAGACTTTGATTGCCAAAACTACGATTATTTTTATCCATTGAACATTGAAATTTTGCCAAAATAAGACGAATTGTTACAAAGAATTTAGCCGGCGGGATCGAACCTTTGACCCCATTGACCCTTGATTGACTGAGACACAAGGCTCTTAGCCAGTCGGCCATGGCACTAGGTGATGGGCCTCGGTGAAAAGCTCCCTATGTAGGCAGTTTAGGGAAATGAATAAGAGAAGTAAGTTTGAAATGGATGAACTAATTCTTGAATTATTGAAATCTAATCACTCATGAAGAATGAAATCTAAAAATGAAATGAACAATGAAATGAACAATGATGAACAATTGAAATCTAATCACTGATGAACAATTCAGCCTCAACAACCCCCTACTCTGGATCTTCAACAACTGAGGGTGAAATTTTTGAGACTTTACAAGTTTTTCCCTTATAAACTCAACATTTTAAACTTTAATACCATTAGAATTGGAGTTTATTTCAAATTCAGCCTCAACACTTCCCTACACCGGTCCATCGACTACAGGTTTTTCCGTTTTTTGCAAAATCTTCTTGAATTTTACTTTTTAGCCGGGCAATCGACTCTCGCATCGCTTGGATCAAGTTAGTGAAAAAAAGACAGTCAAAGTCTTGGTTAGAGTGTGTTCCTTTCAACTAACGCGTTTTCTAATTTGAGAAAACTACCGTAGCCAAACTATTTAAGAAAACCACCGTAGTCAAACTATTTAAGAAATCATCGTAGTCAAATGGCCGATTTACATCCGATCAGCTCAATTTTGGTATCATTTGATGCTTTGTTTTTCATCCTCATTCACAAGGCTCAGCCAATGATTTAAAAAATTCGATTGATCTGATGAAAACTAACGGTTCGACTACGTTACTTTTCTCAAATAACTGCATTTTCGAAAACGCATTAGTCGAGAGAAACACACTCTAGACTTGGTCACGTTTGAACAGAGTTGACTAGGTTGAAACACACAAATCTGCAGACAAATTTACAGATTTACAGGCAAATTTACCGATTAACAGACAAATTTACAGATTTACAGACAAATTGCCGATTAACAGACAGATTTACAGACAAATTTGCAACCCAACTAATCAAAATCAATCAAAATCAATCAAATCGTCTTTTTAGAGATTGGTTGGCCGATTTGGATCGCCGGCGTGCTGATTGCTTCGCTGGTCATCATGGCAATTGTAAGGATTAAAAGAATTAAAGATTAAAAGAATTAAAGATTAAAAGAATTAAAATTTAAAAAATTCAAAACAAAAAGTTGTTGAGCCGGTGTAAAATGAGGAAAACTTGCTTGAACTTGAAAAAACTTGAAACTCGAATTTTGTTCTTCGTTTCTTTTACGAAATTTAGAACAAGCCAATGAGTTTTCTTCGTTTACTCTTTAGCAAATTTATTCCTTTCAATGTTAAGTATATTAAAAGTTATTAAAAGCTCATATGCTCATAAAAGTTTTATTAAAGCTTTAGATCCTTACAGGAAACTCTCCAAATTGAAGCTCAAACCCAAATTGAAACTGAAAATTCAAAAATCTCGACTTAAAAACGATTCCCCAAACTCTAAAGGCACTTTGCTCAAAAGAGTTACAGTACTGGACAATGAAATATCATATTTGAAAAAAGATCTTCTTCGAGCGTCTGTAACTTCCTTGTCTTTGAGTTTAAACTATTAGTGTTATACATTTTCTGAAAGCTCTTTTCAACGGCTACACAATGGTAATATTAATATTTAGAAATGCGGTAAAGACAGGGGAGTACAGACGCGCGAAAGTGACGATCGTTTTTCAAATATGATATTTCATTGTCCAGTAGTGTAGCTCAAAAGAGCAAAAGAATGCTTCAAAAGAGTCAGTGAGTCTAACTCTTTTGGAGCATTTTAAAGTGATTAAAGTACGATTTTAAACTCTATGATTGATACAATAACCATTCATAAAGTACTTGACTAATCTTTCCGCTCCAGATCTTCGGAGCGACATGGGCGTTTATTCGAGGCGGCTCATCAACAAATCCCACCACGAATCCCTATGCAAATCAAGCACATGGTTTCATTTTTCATTTGAAAATTGATAAATTGATAAATTTAAGATTAAACCTTTAAGAATAAAAGAAAAAAAGTGTCAATGATGGCAAATTTGGCAAATTTTGACTAATCCTTGAAAATTTTGAAACTGATTGGTAGGATTTTAAATTTTAGCTTTTAACCTTCTTTAATCCAAGAATTCTATTCATTGAGTTGAAATTTAACTGAAAACTTAAGAGATTTATTCAAATCCTTTCTTGAAATCATTATTCTTTAGGCTACAAAGCAGCTCACGCCGATCTACCGCCACAACCCGTTCAACCGGCCAATACTGGGGTAAGTGTTTGATTTGAGATTTAAAAGCATTCAATTGAATGCCTAAACAAGTACAAATTGCGTGACCCTGATGAGAAAAATCTAAACTTTCTTTAGAAAACTTTAGAATCAAACATTTTCACCTCTCATTCTTGTGCTATTCTGAAATTTCAGGTTTCCACGATGAACGTCGGCCCGACGTGGACCCAGCCGCACTCGATGTATTATTGAAAAAGAAAAAGCTATGCATTGAAATATTAGCTTTAAAGAAACATTGCACAAATAATAAACTGTGATATTTTAATAGCAATTGGCGAGCAGGGATTGCTGAAGAATTACAAGGAAATATTGGGTTGGTGAATTGAAAACTGCCGGCTATTGCCATATGTGACAGTTTGAGCACTTTCTTCAAAAGAATCCCATTTTGGTGTCAATGGAAAAGTTGTAGAGAATCAAAAATTAAGCTTATATCCAAATTTTCAGAACGATTCAAAAACTGGTTTTCAAGAAATGCCAAATTTACGAATTTTCACAAAACTTGCATTTTAAGCGAAACTACTAAGTGGATCTTTTTGGAAATTTGGGTATAAGCCTAATTTTTAATTCTCTACAACTTTTCTATTGAGACCAAAATGGGTTTCTTTTGAAGAAAGTGCTCAAATGCTCAAACTGAGACATCTCCAGTCCTCGATTTTTGACTCTCACACTTGTCTCACACACAAACCAAAACTACGAAAGAGGAATCCGCAAATTGCCTGTAAAATGGGCAGAAGTCGTCAATAAGAATGGAAATCATTTGGAATGAATTCAGGGTTTTACAGTGAACAGTTGGGAAAGGTGAATGAATCCCTAAAGAAGAATAGGCCCTTCAAGTCAAAGGTCGTTCTCCTCCACGACAACGCGCCCTGCAAAACTGACTCGCTCTAAAATAAACAGCCTTGTTTGGGAACTTTTGGCACATCCCCCGTACAGTCCGGACCTTGCCCCTTTTGATTACTATTTATTCCGGATCATGAGCTTGCGGGAGAACACTTCGATTCGGAAGAAGCAGTCAAAAATTTGTTCGAAAAGTTTTTCGATTCAAAACCAAAATCCTACTACGAAAGAGGAATCCGCAAATTTCTTGTAAAATGAGCAGAAGTCGTCAATTGATAATGGAAATTATTGGAAATTTGGAATGAATTGATGGTTTTATGTTGAATAAATTTTAGTTCAAATCGTAGTTTTCAATTCACCAACCTAATAGCTAAAATTGAATCAAATTGAAACTGATCTTTTTTTTTTTCTCAATTTACCAATTTTGCTAGCTTTTGAGAGTAAAAATGATAAATTAAAGGTAACACAAATATTTGTACGTCTCAATTTTACAAAAAAGTAATTCAAATTTCGAAAACTACAAGGTAATACTTATTGCAAAGTGATTTAAAAGGCTAACAAATCAGGAAATAAATGAGCGTTTTGTATTGTTTATTGTTTGGGTACATTTTTCTCAATGCTATGTATGTATGCTCTGTACCTTGTAATGTTATGTACAATTAGAAAGCTGCTTTATATACCAGTAGAAAGCTGATTTCGTGCTCTCTTTAACCATACTTTTAAATTTTGTTGAGAATAAGATTTTTTGCGAATTTTAAGCTTTGCCGTTTTAAATGTCCGAAACCAGCTTTTTTTATGAGTTCAAACTCGGTCGCAATGCAGCTGAAACGGCTCGTAACATTAACAAAGTTTGAGGTCAAGGCAGTGTCGGCGAGTCAACAGTGCGAACTTGGCTCCGAAAATTCCGAGCTGGTGATTTTGATCTCGAAGATAGAGAAGGCCGTGGCCGTCCTGTTGAACTCGGTGACGACGAACTGAAGACCCTGGTGGAAGCAAATCCACGTACGACTATTCGAGAGCTTGCGGAGGAGAGGCTTGCGGAGGAGAGGCTTGCGGAGGAGAAGCTTGCGGAGGAGAGGCTTGCGGAGGAGAGGCTTGTTGAGGAGAGGCTTGTTGAGGAGAAGCTTGCAGACAACCTAATACAGGGTGACCAAGATTACCGCAACAAGGTCGTATGATGTTATGAGCCCCATTTCACTTTTTGCTTACCTGTTTTTATGGTTTTTGTGTATTTTTCTTATTTTATGGTATGACTACTAACTTTCAATACATTAGCATGGTTGTTTTTAGAAATGATGAAAGCGTCTCCACATCGACAATCGATCCTTGAGCTCAAGCGGCAGCGTGTTCAGGCGAGCGAGATCTCAAAGCGCCTGAATGTCCCCAGAAGCCTCGTTTCTCGAACCATTCAACGTTATGAAACTCTGGGCACAGTTTCTGATCGATCCAGGGATCTGATCGCCCTGGAAGAGGTGCAAAACGAACAGCGGTTACTCCGGCTAATGTCAAGAAAGTGTGCGATCGTCTAAGATTAAACCCTAACCAATCGGCTCGAGGAATGACACAGAAAATGGGTCTGAAGAGGTCTCCATCAACACAATCATCAAGAAAAAGCTGAAAATGAAGCCGTCCAAGAAGAACAAATCTCAATTACTATCAGCGGCTGCGAAGGGCAAGCGATTCCCGGACTTCCCGGACTTCACCTCGTTTTCTGAGTGGCCACCCAGCTCACCCGATCTTAACCCATTGGATTACTCAGACTGGAGTGTTCTTGAAGCCAGGGCATGTGCAAAACCACATAAAAATATCGAAAGTTTGAAGAAGGCGCTCATCAAAGCATGGGATAGATGATGCTTATTTGCTCGCCACGCGTTTCCCAAACTTTTGCAGGCTTGTCTGAAAGCCGATGGAGGCAAATTTGAATTTAATTGTTAATTTGTTACTGTTATATGTTGAATAAAGATATTTAAGTTAACTTTTCGAGATGGATTGCATATTTGGTTAAAAGCCAGACCTTTTGTGTGTTGCGGTAATTCTGTATATAAAAGAGCCGTGTCTGTCCGTCTGCAGGGACTTTTTCTCAACCGTCTTTGAGCCAAAAAAACTGAAATCTTTTTAAAAGTCTTAAAATATAACATATTTCTACCATTTAAACTAAAAAATTAAAAAGTTGAAGTTGAGTGGCACTATGGGCGGTCGAACGGTCGAAACCGGATCGTATAGGCTGTAGACAAGCACGCTCTCGATTGCGCCACGGCGATAAAATAATTCGGCCAGAAAAATCCCCTTTTAGACTGGTTCTGAATAAAGAAGCAAAACAAAAATAACAAAATGCTTAATATTTCGATACAAATTAACTTCAATGGTCCTTTTGACATCAACAAAATATTGTTCAATGAGAAATCCTCTTCTTACCCCAGATTTTGAAACACGATTATTCAAAAAGAACTGATGAATCAGATTTCTGGTTTATCAAGTTCTTTTTGAAACCAGATTTCTGGTTTAGTGTGCAATTCTTGTGAAAATTGAATTCACTAGGGTTTTCTCGGGAATTTTCTGGGTTTTTCTGGCTTCTTCTGGTTTTTTTTGACTTCTTTTGACTTAGATTTAGTCTTTTTTTCAATCTATTCACTTTTTTTCTTTTAAATATCCTTTGTAACAGAATCAGATGAAGAAAATGGATAGATTGGTGAAAAAACGAGGCCAAGTCTCATTTTAAAGAACGAAGACAAGTTTACAGTAGAAAGAGAAAGAGGACACGTTTTAGAGAAGTTCTCAAAAGTTTGAGTTTCAAGTTAACTCAAGCAAGCTTCAAGCTTCAAGCTTTAATCTTCAAACTTTCAAGCTTTTTCATATTTTTTCACTTTAACAGATTTCCACTTCTTTTTGCATCATCTCTCATCCATTTTTAAATAAAATTGTGAAAAATTGCCTCATCAACCTTCAAAATGATCAAGAATTCAAAAAAAACGGGTTGAAACAAACTTCAAAAAAATCAAAAATTAAGCTTATATCCAAATTTTCAGAACGATTCAAAAACTGGTTTTCAAGAAATGCCAAATTTACGAATTTTCACAAAACGATGCGATCGAACTTTAGAAGCGTCCCGTCGTTAGAAACGCTTTAGAAACGTCAAACCAAACTTTAGAGTCATTAAAGATTGCTTGGCTTTGCTCTGATTATTGCTCAATTTTACTGCAACCCTAAGTCTCATAGATATGGAAAAAAAGAACTAATAGTCTGGCCGGCGGGATTGAACTTCCGACCAAGATACAAGGCTCTTTATCAGGCTATTAAAGCTGATTAAAGCTTAAAGCCATAGCTATGAAAGCTGATGCTTTTTCAGCGATCACATCACCAACTGTTCCCTCAAAAAACACCATCACCACAACGACCGCTCTACCAATCACCAAGAATGTCTCCCTTCCGTACAACAACTACACCGGTCCTCCACCAACAATTCCACCATCATGGAATGCCACTGACATTCCACCATCACCGAACAAGAACAATTATACAGGTAAATTCTACATCGACTTAGAGAACATTCTGAATTTCAACAATGATTTTAAACAATGTGATGCCATTTGATTTGCCTTGAAACGTAGTTAAAGTTAAAGTTAAAAGTTATCCATAGTTAGTTAGCTAGTTAGTTAGTTAAAAGCCAAAAGTTATAGCTCTTATAGGTTAAAACACTTATAGGTTAAAACTCTTATAGATTAAAACTCTATGCAGTATCACAGCTGAAAGTGCTGGTATGCAATTTTAAACTTAAAATGATCTCAAAGTTCAATTGTTCGATTTTCCCTAGCTGAATCCTTTAGATACATAATGCTTGAAGTATTCCACCCAAAAAAGTGATCGTTTTAAATTGAAACTTGAAGTTTCCCTGAAAGCGTTCAAATTTCTGTGAAACTCTCTCCTTTTCCAGGCCCTCCCCCAACAGGATCGCCTTCAGTTTTCATGAATTCCACCGCAAAACCATCACCACCACCCGGCAATTACACTGGTAATCTTTTTCACAAAATATACAGTATCTAAAAAGAAAGACTGAGTATTCTAAGAATTGCAGACTCAATTTTTTTGCTGTAGATTGCCGTCAGTGTCCAGAGCCATCCAAAGATCCAAATGAAGAGTTGATTTAGAAAACTAAGTTTCAACTTGAACTACTTGTTCAATTTAAAACTCACTTCAATTTAAAAAGCTCAAAAATATTGTAAAGATATTGTTAAAAAAAATATTGTAAAGCAAATCATAGCTGAAAGTGCTGGTATGCAATTTTAAACTTAAAATAATCTCAAATTTCAATTGTTTAATTCTCCCTAGCTGAATCCTTTAGATACATTAGATTTAAATCCTTTAGATTGAAGTATTCCACCCAAAAAAAGTGATCATTTTAAATTGAAACTTGAAGTTGAACGAGTAGTCAAAGTTGAAACACGGTTTTTTTAAAATCAACTCTCCATTTGGATGGCTCTGGGCACCCAATTTACAGCAAATACAGCAAAATTGAGTCTGCAATTCGTAGAATATTTTTTTTAGCATTCAAATAAAGTAATTCAAATTTCTGTGAAACTTTCTCCTTTTCCAGGCCCTCCCCCAACAGGATCGCCTACAGTTTTCATGAATTTCACCGCAAAACCATCTCCACCACCCGGCAATTACACTGGTAATCTTTCTTTCACAAAATTACAGTAGTTAAGCAGAAAGACTGAGTATTCTAAGAATTGCAGACTCATTTTTTGCTGTAGATTGCCGTCAGTGTCCAGAGCCATCCAAAGCTCCAAATGAAGAGTTGATTTAAAAAAACTAAGTTTCAACTTGAACTACTTATTCAATTTAAAACTCACTTCAATTTAAAAAGCTCAAAAAGCTTTTAAAGATAGCAAATAATAATGCCAAACATGTTGAAAATGCTAAAAAATAGTAGCAAAAAGCTAAAAAAGCCAAAAAGCTGAAATCTAAACGATTTAAAATCGATTTAAAACCGATTTTCAACTTTTGCAACTCTCGTCACTCTCGCAACTTTCAACAATTCAGCTAGTTTCAATTTCAATTCAATTCATTCAATTTATTCAATTTCAATTCAATTTCAATTCAATTTCAATTCAATTTCAATTCAATTCCAATTCAATTCCAATTCAATTTCAATTCAATTTCAATTCAATCAATTCATTCAATTCAAAACATTTTCTATCTTTAAAATGATCTATTCAAGTATTGTAGTATTTTAAAATCAAATTTAAAGATCAGCAGCAAACAGGAAACAATTGCTGACTGGCTGAGCCCGAAATTTTCAGGTAAACCATCACCAACTGACAATACAACTCTTTTCAACAAAGCCATTCCCACCACTCCATCACATCCACAAAAATCAGCCGCTTCCACAAACGCAACCACTGTTTACTCGTGGAAAACAACAACAACTGTTTATCAATATCAAAATGCATCCAATACCACAAATCCATCAAATGGATCCGATATTGTTTACAATGCGACCTACGTTATTTTTGGAAACAATGGAAGCAATGATTATTTTTATGGTTTCGGTGATTAAAGATTTGGGAGATTTACAATAGAGAATTTTAAGATGGATCCAATGGAAACGCCTCCTCAATCTGGACGTGGATTTGGGGAAATTGGGGACAAAATTATGGGCATAACAATCGACACAAAAACAATGATAACGATGATGATGATGATGATTATCACGCTGAGGATTTTCATGGTCATTAACCCAGCCTCGCCTTAATTCATATACCCAATTTTGAAACTTGAACATTTTCGTGGTAGTGCTAAATGTGTTAATGTGATACACGAATTAGAAAACTAGATCAAATCCCAAATTGCTTTTTTGCAAAGTTGCAAAGTTTTTTAGAAGATACCTAAATCGAAAAAGGAGGACGGTTTGTTGATTCTAGACACTTTAGTTAAGTCAAATTTCTTTAGAAATCTATCTTTATGTCAATAGAGCACAAAAAAGCATTCATTTTCTGCATTTCTGCATCTAGACTTCTACTAAAGTACTGTATTTTGGTCTTCTATTAGGTACATAAGAAATGCGGATTTCGACATTTTTATAAATTTCCAACGATAGAAACCTGATATCGATGAATGTTATTTTTTGTTATTGTTAAACTATTTGAAAGTTGTTAATCTCCTCTACAAAATAGGCTAAAACGTGTTTCAATTGATTGAAGAAATTGAAGGAATTTCGAGGGCGAAATGCGAGTGACCAAAAAAGGGATCGAGTCACTTTAGGGACAAGTTTAGTGTGCTCAAAATAGAGTTAGCTTCCCAAAATTGAAGATTTAAATAAAGGATTATAATACCATTTCGGTATGAGGGATTATAATACCATTTCGACATCTCAGTCATTTTCGACACATTTTCATTCTCTGATGTCAGAGAATCAACTCATTTACAACACTTTTTTAAAAAAAGTATGAAACGAGTGAATTTTTGGAGCGCTAAAAAGTGCTTATTTTTAATAATTTTTGTACATTTTCAATCAATTTTTTGTTGAGATGTCGATTTCATTTTTCATTTCCTATTTTCATGTTTAAATGTTTTATTTTTATCTCATTTTCATACTTTTAAAAAATCAGTGGATGTCGATTTTTTTTTAAAAATGGTGTCATAAAAAATAAGCCTAATAAATGCATTTCAATACGCGTTGGGCTAGAGTGGAAGGGTGATGAGAGTGACGCGTCCGTGAGCAGAGACGCAGAGGAAGGCGAGAAACTGCCAACATCGCATTCTTCCATTAACTTTTGTGAATAGAAAAGAGACTTCCTTTTCTTCTGTAGTTCGCGTTGATTTCGTGATTTCCCATCCGTGATTATCATTGTTATTTTCTCCTTAACTCCAGTTTGTTAACAACTTTTCCGACTTTCCCTCTCTCTCTCTCGAATTAATCGAATATGTTTACAGAGTGCATGTTTGCATGTTGTTTTTACATTAGTTTACAATTAATTCTTTGTTTTCAGACTCATTCGTCTCTCAAAATGGCTCAAGCGATCCGAATCAAGATGATGGACAAGGACGTTGAATTGGATTTGCCGGACAATATGATCACCAAAAGCTCCATCAAATCCGCCTTGTTGCTTATCGATGATGCGGTTGTTTCGTTGTCTTATGAAGTAAATGGCCGTCAAAAATTTTGCCGGTAAGTTACATTTTGAATTATTTCTGATTTATTTCAATTAATTTAGAGTAAATGAAGCTGGTACAGCTTTTCTGCTTCCTGACAGTTGGCCAACTATGCAATTCTTTGTGGAGTCCGATAATACCATCCGTATTAAAATGATGGACAAGGAGGTGGAAATAGATTTGTCGAGCAATGTTTTGACTCAGAGCACCGTCAAAAGCCAGTTTCTGCTTCCTTTGGATGCAGTTGTTTCGTTGAGTTATGAAGTTAACGGTCGTCAGAAAGGATGCGAGTAAGTCATATTTTGAATTATTTCTGATTTATTTCAATTAATTTAGAGTAAATGAAGCTGGTACAGCTTTTCTGCTTCCTGGCAGTTGGCCAACTATGCAATTCTTTGTGGAGTCCGATAAGGTGCCTTCTCGACCAGCAACGTCGATGGACCAAACTATGGATGTGGGTCCGGTTAGCCCCAAAGGTAATACTAAATCTTTAACTCAGATTTAAATTGCGCATTTAATGATCGATCTCAACTTTTAATTGCTTAATTATGAACTTCTTTTATATTCTAAGTTTAGATTTTTTAACTAGCAAAAACCAAAAAATATTGACGAAATATGATTTTTTATTATTTTAGATTTGACCAATCTTGAAAGATATGTGCGTTACTTATTCTACACTCGTATTCTATTGAAGAACAACAATGGGTCGATTATAGAAGAAATGGATATAAAATATGCTTGTGTTCCTTTTTACACAACATTGATTCCACATCGTTATTTTGTTATTTCTACGCGGCACGGAAGTCATCAATGTCTTGAGGAAGGCGAAGAAATTAACGTATACAATTCCGATCATGTACCGTTCAAGGTCAAAGTGATCTTCTATGATGACGATCGCGATTTTATTGTTTTCGAGTCGGATATTAAACTATGTGATAACATGCCAATCCCTGGTCCGATTGTCGGAGGCCGCCGTTATGCTATGCTGGTATGTTTTCAGGTTTTTTGACTTTTTGTTAGTAAAGGAATAAATTTTCTATTATACATAATTATATCAACTAAAGATAATTTTTAGGGTTTCGCAGAAATCAAGCAACAGAAAAGAGACAACGAACATATTGATCCGTGCTATGCAAGCGGAATTATCATTTCTTCCCAGCCTAATTCGACGGGTCATATTTGCGGTAGTTTCGGAGGAGTAGCTGGACTGAGTGGTGGCCCTGTTTTCGATTTGTGTAATATTTTTAATTATAAAATTATTTAATTAATATTAAATGGTCTCAAAAATTAAATTTTTTAGCTTGCAATCACCTTATTGGCATTTGCGTTTCGACGGACGATTTGGATGACCGCGAGACGTCGTTTGGTCGTTTTTCCTCTGATATGATTAATTATTGCAAAGAAATTACAATCGTTCGAATCATGCCGGTTGAAGTCGCTGCTGTCCTGCTGCATTCTGCTATTAAACGCGTAATTTTTAATTTCTTTAATAAACTTTTAATTATTGAGCATGAAATAAGCCAATTGATAGATATCTTCTACATTAAATTATTTATTTTAGGAAAAGCAGTTGAAGCGACGTTTGTAAGATGAAGACAAAATAATTGAGTTGGTAAAGTTGATGTAATTGTAAAAGTATGTGATAAATAATTTTATCCTCGATTTTTTGATAATTAAATGGTTTATTTAAATCTCCATTTGACTTGTAATAATAAAACTTTTGAATATTACTCATTACCAAGGAAAATATTGGATAAAAATTATGAAATAGCTTTGATAAAATTTGATAGAGAGATTAATAATTCAGATTTATCACTTTCTAATACCAATATTAAAATTCATATAGATGAAAATAATAATGTTCTAGCAGATACTAAAGGTACTGAGAAAACTATTAAAAGCATTTCGAATAATGTTTATATTAATTGCAATCTAATTGATTATTCATATGTAAATGAGAATAATATTAATTCTTTATATAGAATAAGAAATAATGTTGGAACTATTAGTATTGAGCCAAAACAATTAGTTTATCATAAAGTAACTAATGAAATAAAGAAAATTCATATTAGACTTGTTGATGATAAAAATAACTTAATTAAGTGTAATAATATAGATCGTTATTTAGAATTACATTTAATGGAAGTATAATTTCATTATTTTGAGATACGCTTAAATCCTGAACCAGAAATTATTCCATTTAGAAATTCTTGGTTCTCTTTAGTTAATTTATTTTTCTTTTTATAAGTTTTTGGTCTTTTAATTGTACATTCCAACATTATTTCTTATTCTATATAAAGAATTAATATTATTCTCATTTACATATGAATAATCAATTAGATTGCAATTAATATAAACATTATTCAAATGCTTTTAATAGTTTTCTCAGTACCTTTAGTATCTGCTAGAACATTATTATTTTCATCTATATGAATTTTAATATTGGTATTAGAAAGTGATAAATCTGAATTATTAATCTCTCCATCAAATTTTATCAAAGCTATTTCATAATTTTTATCCAATATTTTCCTTGGTAATGAGTAATATTCAAAAGTTTTATTATTACAAGTCAAATGGAGATTTAAATAAACCATTTAATTACCAAAAAATTGAGGATAAAATTATTTATCACATACTTTTACAATTACATCAACTTTACCAACTCAATTATTTTGTCTTCATCTTACAAACGTCGCTTCAACTGCTTTTCCTAAAATAAATAATTTAATGTAGAAGATATCTATCAATTGGCTTATTTCATGCTCAATAATTAAAAGTTTATTAAAGAAATTAAAAATTACGGGTTTAATAGCAGAATGCAGCAGGAGAGCAGCGCCTTCAACCGGCATGATTCGAACGATTGTAATTTCTTTGCAATAATTAATCATATCAGAGGAAAAACGACCAAACGACGTCTCGCGGTCATCCAAATCGTCCGTCGAAACGCAAATGCCAATAAGGTGATTGCAAGCTAAAAAATTTAATTTTTGAGACCATTTAATATTAATTAAATAATTTTATAATTAAAAATATTACACAAATCGAAAACAGGGCCACCACTCAGTCCAGCTACTCCTCCGGAACTACCGCAAATATGACCCGTCGAATTAGGCTGGGAAGAAATGATAATTCCGCTTGCATAACACGGCTTAATATGTTCGTTGTCTTTTTTCTGTTGCTTGATTTCTGCGAAACCCTAAAAATTATCTTTAGTTGATATAATTATGTATAATAGAAAATTTATTCCTTTACTAACAAAAAAGTCAAAAAACCTGAAAACATACCAGCATAGCATAACGGCGGCCTCCGACAATCGGACCAGGGATTGGCATGTTATCACATAGTTTAATATCCGACTCGAAAACAATAAAATCGCGATCGTCATCATAGAAGATCACTTTGACCTTGAACGGTACATGATCGGAATTGTATACGTTAATTTCTTCGCCTTCCTCAAGACATTGATGACTTCCGTGCCGCGTAGAAATAACAAAATAACGATGTGGAATCAATGTTGTGTAAAAAAGGAACACAAGCATATTTTATATCCATTTCTTCTATAATCGACCCATTGTTGTTCTTCAATAGAATACGAGTGTAGAATAAGTAACGCACATATCTTTCAAGATTGGTCAAATCTAAAATAATAAAAAATCATATTTCGTCAATATTTTTTGGTTTTTGCTAGTTAAAAAATCTAAACTTAGAATATAAAAGAAGTTCATAATTAAGCAATTAAAAGTTGAGATCGATCATTAAATGCGCAATTTAAATCTGAGTTAAAGATTTAGTATTACCTTTGGGGCTAACCGGACCCACATCCATAGTTTGGTCCATCGACGTTGCTGGTCGAGAAGGCACCTTATCGGACTCCACAAAGAATTGCATAGTTGGCCAACTGCCAGGAAGCAGAAAAGCTGTACCAGCTTCATTTACTCTAAATTAATTGAAATAAATCAGAAATAATTCAAAATATGACTTACTCGCATCCTTTCTGACGACCGTTAACTTCATAACTCAACGAAACAACTGCATCCAAAGGAAGCAGAAACTGGCTTTTGACGGTGCTCTGAGTCAAAACATTGCTCGACAAATCTATTTCCACCTCCTTGTCCATCATTTTAATACGGATGGTATTATCGGACTCCACAAAGAATTGCATAGTTGGCCAACTGTCAGGAAGCAGAAAAGCTGTACCAGCTTCATTTACTCTAAATTAATTGAAATAAATCAGAAATAATTCAAAATGTAACTTACCGGCAAAATTTTTGACGGCCATTTACTTCATAAGACAACGAAACAACCGCATCATCGATAAGCAACAAGGCGGATTTGATGGAGCTTTTGGTGATCATATTGTCCGGCAAATCCAATTCAACGTCCTTGTCCATCATCTTGATTCGGATCGCTTGAGCCATTTTGAGAGACGAATGAGTCTGAAAACAAAGAATTAATTGTTTACATGCACTCTGTAAAAACAACATGCAAACATGCACTCTGTAAACATATTCGATTAATTCGAGAGAGAGAGAGGGAAAGTAGGAAAAGTTGTTAACAAACTCAAAGTTAAGGAGAAAATAACAATGATAATCACGGATGGGAAATCACGAAATCAACGCGAACTACAGAAGAAAAGGAAGTCTCTTTTCTATTCACAAAAGTTAATGGAAGAATGCGATGTTGGCAGTTTCTCGCCTTCCTCTGCGTCTCTGCTCACGGACGCGTCACTCTCATCACCCTTCCACTCTAGCCCAACGCGTATTGAAATGCATTTATTAGGCTTATTTTTTATGATACCATTTTTAAAAAAAAATCGACATCCACTGATTTTTTAAAAGTATGAAAATGAGATAAAAATAAAACATTTAAACATGAAAATAGGAAATGAAAAATGAAATCGACATCTCAACAAAAAATTGATTGAAAATGTACAAAAATTATTAAAAATAAGCACTTTTTAGCGCTCCAAAAATTCACTCGTTTCATACTTTTTTTAAAAAAGTGTTGTAAATGAGTTGATTCTCTGACATCAGAGAATGAAAATGTGTCGAAAATGACTGAGATGTCGAAATGGTATTATAATCCCTCATACCGAAATGGTATTATAATCCTTTATTTAAATCTTCAATTTTGGGAAGCTAACTCTATTTTGAGCACACTAAACTTGTCCCTAAAGTGACTCGATCCCTTTTTTGGTCACTCGCATTTCGCCCTCGAAATTCCTTCAATTTCTTCAATCAATTGAAACACGTTTTAGCCTATTTTGTAGAGGAGATTTACAACTTTCAAATAGTTTAACAATAACAAAAAATAACATTCATCGATATCAGGTTTCTATCGTTGGAAATTTATAAAAATGTCGAAATCCGCATTTCTTATGTACCTAATAGAAGACCAAAATACAGTACTTTAGTAGAAGTCTAGATGCAGAAATGCAGAAAATGAATGCTTTTTTGTGCTCTATTGACATAAAGATAGATTTCTAAAGAAATTTGACTTAACTAAAGTGTCTAGAATCAACAAACCGTCCTCCTTTTTTGTGGCTTTGTTGAAAAGAGTCGTATTGTCGATTGGTGATGGTTTACCTGAAAATTTCGGGCTCAGCTAGTCAGCAATTGTTTCCTGTTTGCTGCTGATCTTTAAATTTGATTTTAAAATACTACAATACTTGAATAGATCATTTTAAAGATAGAAAATGTTTTGAATCGAACGAATTGAATGAATTGATTGAATTGAAATTGAATTGAAATTGAATTGGAATTGAATTGCAATTGAATTGGAATTGAATTGGAATTGAATTGGAATTGAAACTAGCTGAATTGTTGAAAGTTGCGAGAGTGCAAAAGTTGAAAATCGGTTTTAAATCGTTTAGATTTCAGCTTTTTGGCTTTTTTAGCCTTTTCCTACTATTTTTTAGCATTTTTAACATTTTTGGCATTATTATTTGCTATCTTTAAAAGCTTTTTGAGCTTTTTAAATTGAAGTGAGTTTTAAATTGAACAAGTAGTTCAAGTTGAAACTTAGTTTTTTAAATCAACTCCATTTGGATTTCTCTCGACATTGACGGCAATTTACAGCAAAAAATGAGTCTCCAATTCTTAGAATACTCAGTCTTTCTGCTTAGATACTGTATATTTTGTGAAAGAAATATTACCAGTGTAATTGCCGGCCGGTGGAGATGGTTTTGCGGTGAAATTCATGAAAACCGAAGGCGATCCTGTTGGGGGAGGGCCTGGAAAAGGAGAGAGTTTCACAGAAATTCGAATTACTTTATTTGAATGCTAAAAAAATAGATTCTAAGAATTGCAGACTCAATTTTGCTGTAAATTGCTGTAAATTGGGTGTCCAGAGCCATCCAAATGGAGAGTTGATTTTAAAAAAACTGAGTCTCAACTTTGACTACTCGTTCAACTTCAAGTTTCAATTTTAAAAGATCACTTTTTTGGGTGGAATACTTTGATCATTATGTATCTAAAGGATTCAGCTAGGGAGAATTGAACAATTGAACTTTGAGATCATTTTAAGTTTAAAATTGCATACCAGCACTTTCAGCTATGATACTGCATAGAGTTTTAACCTATAAGTGTTTTAACATATAAGAGATATAACTAACGAGATATAATTAACTAGCTAATATAAGAGATATAACTATTGGGTTGGGGAGAATGAGTCGGCGCCGAAAATGCAAAAAATGTCTAAAACTTCTATTCGACTTCGTCAAATAATATGCGTTTGATATGAGTAGAATGGTTAACTAATTCTCTACAAAATGACATTTAAAAGAAAATTCAAACAGCGCCTCCGCTCAAGAAAAAGCCATTTTTTCACAAAAACTACAAACTGTGATCTAGAAAAAACCATTGGTGGGATCTTCCTGCAAATTTGGCAACTTAAGTAATTGAATGTGCTCTATCTTTTACAAGTGGGCTTTTTTTGTTGTGCATGTCAAAGAAAAAGCTTTTTACGGCTTTTTATTGATTGAAGCTTGTTTAAAGTTTCAAAAAGCTTGCAAAAAAGCTCTTTTCAGTGACGGCAAGCACCACAACGTTCACCACTGTTTCGACGACAACTGGATGTAAGAGCAATAAGCTTTTGAATGTTTTTTAAATTTTGTATCAGCTCAAATGATCGCATACTGTGGTTTTACTTATCTTGTGGCTTTACTTTACTTATCTTTACTTATCTTTACTTATCCTTACTTATCTTTACTGATCTTTACTTATCTTTACTTATCGCACGTAAAACTAAGATAAGTAAAAAGAAAATTATGCAAATTGCTATAAAATTAGCAAAGCAACTTTAAACATTAACCGGAAACTTATGCGTTCTTTGAAATCTACTAAAACCTACCGTACAGTCGCGTAGTCGCAAAAGTTTTTTAGTATTTCATCTTTTTCACGGCGCCCGTACTTTCAAAAAATGCGTCTTTGGTATCAAAAAATAGCTGAAATTCAGGGCTATTTTTTGATACCTAAGCGCGCATTGTAGCATAAACCAGTGTCGAGAAAAACTCGTTCAAAGCTAGACTACCCAACACTCCGCACCGTCATTATGGGGTGGGGTACTATTATAGTATTTACGGTAGGTAGTATTAAGCAATAAAATTTGCAAAGCAACTCAAGTAACTCAATTAAGACGATAGCAATTTTTTATAGAAGAAAAGAAAACTTTCTAGATTTTCAAAAAAACAATCTAAACAAGCAAACCAGAAATCAAATTAGCATATGGGCGAAATTAGCATTTAAATGCACGAGCGAAGCGCAGCCGAGCATTAGTGAAAAGGTGGGTGAGGAAAATTTCAGTCCGTTGAACGGTTGATTTATTTTTTTTCTTGTGGCAAGGAGATAACCAATAAGTACCCATTAGCCCCAATCTTTTCATATTAAACCTTATTCACTTTGAAACATCAATAATTTAAGCCACCGTCAGCACTACGAGTTACACGGGCTCGTCAACAACTGCTTGTGAGTGCTTGATTTTGATGATTGGTTTCATTTTAAATGATTAATTTAATGTTTTACAAAGAGATAAGGCTTTATTAAGGCCAATTTCTAGGCCAATAATAAGATATTAGGGTGGTGCAAAAGAAACTGCCGATTTGACGGTAAATTCAAAAAAAAGATGGCGTTCGGTGGTGACATGATCACAATGGAATATTTTCGCAAGATCTCGAGCGGATTGGCATGGATCGGTCTGAATAACGTCCCTCAGCTTGGCTTCGTTCACGACTTCTGGCCTCGAACCGTGCTCGTAATCTTCCAAAGTCTCTTCTCCCTCTCGGAATCGTTGAAACCAAGTCTGACACTGCCTGAGAGACAAACTGCCATCTCCG